CGCAGAGCTCCAGCTGCTTGGACCAGGTCTCGCTGCCCTCTCTCCTGCCACCCCCCCCCCCCCCCCCCCCCCCCCCCGCAGGTTTCGGTGCCTACACAAACCACAGGAACTACAGACCTGCCCAAAGGGTGCAGGTAGCTGCTCCCCACCTCATCCCATGTCTGGGAAAGAACCACATCCTTCTCGGCCCCTGGGCGGCACCCCCACTGTCACCGCAGCCACCAGTTCTGCAGGTGGCTCTGAGGTCGCAGGCTGGGGCAATGGAGGAGGTGGAGGCTGGAGGTGGTGGGACCACTCCCAGGGCAGTGGGAGCCGGCCAGCTGGGGCCAGCCTGCCCTGCGATTTGGCAGATTTGCTGAGCTGAGCAGGATTTCGGAAGGCACTGGACTTGTGGATCAGAGCGATAGACTTGTCTCAGAAGTCACACCACCAGGCAGCCACAGAGGACAGGAAGGAGATGGGACTCAGAAATCAAGTAAATCAAGAAATCACTTTGCCTCTCTGATCCCCACCCAATGGGGATCATAAAAAGGATAAGGTGAATGAATGTAAGTGCCTTATGAATGACAGGGCTCTGTTCCAAGCCGGAGGACTGGGGCCACCCCTCCACCTTTTGTGACTTCCAGGCTATCTCTTCTCTGTATTTGAACTGATCTCATTCATTCAGGTTCTACCATATTCATACTAAATGGCATCCTGGGAATGACACAGGCATATAAGAAACAGGCCCTGCCCAGAGCAAGTGAGATCTAAGCAATGAATTCCCCATTTTCCAGATAGGCAAACTGAGGGCAGTGGAAGTATATACTTTGCCTATGCCCCTGTGCTTCACGTTCCTGGTAAAACCAATCCTACAACATGGGGCCCCTATTAGCCAGACAAGCCTGCACCTGGCTGAGGGCACAGGCTTGGCATCAAAACACCCTGCTTCTAGTTCTACCTCTGACACTGATTGCCCATGTGCGCTTGAGCACTGGTTCCTCTCTGTGCCTCATTTTCCTCATCTGTAAAATGACTATAAAGTTGATACCAGCTTCGCCTGCCCCATAGGAGTGCATGAGCTAGGAGATGTGAATGAACCTTAGCACATAGGACTCACACATGCCAGGGCGGCCTGGGAACTTGTAAGGGCTGTTCTCAGTCTTTGGTTGGGTGAGGTGCTTACTGGTAAGTCGGTGGATCTGCAAAACCATGCGGAAGGCAAATTGGCTCCCAGTAGGGCCCCACCGCCCTCTGCCAAAACCCCTATGATGAGGCTTCAGGGCATTCCGGGGCCAAGGGGTGTGGCTGCCCTGCTCAAGGGAACTGCCAAGAGTCTTGTACTCCCTGGACTTCAGAATTGCTAGCACTGGCTGCGCACCTACTATGCATCAGGAGGCCTTCACCCATTTGACCCATACAGCAACTCTGAGAGGTCGACACTATCATCCTCTCCATTGTGCAGATGAGGAAACTGAGCTCAAGGACGGGAATACCACGTCCCAGAGGCCTCAGTGTGGGTGTCGGATGTGGACACGGGCGGCCTAAGAGCAGGGCTCTCACCCTCCACCCCTCCGCGTGGGCCGTGGGTTGTCAGATGACCATCAGCCAACCTCAGCACGTGCTGGCTGGGAGCGGCTTCTGGTGCAATCCCACTCAGGATCCAGGTGAGGCACACCCCCCTCTGCCCAATATAACCCGCTCTATCCTTCACAGCTCCGACAAGCCCAGCCCACCCACAGGGGTCCAGCGCCGTGCCGTTCATACCTCTCATTCACACTCAGCACTGAGACCCCCAAGCCCCTGGCACGTGTGAGTCTCAGCTCATCCTCACCCCTGGCTCTGATCAAATCTCTGAAGTAAGAGACAACATTTGGGGGGCGGGGGGAAGAGTTCAAATCTCCCTGCCCTGTAGAGGGCAGTGTGGTAAAAGGAGATGGATATGAACTTTGGCACCAAATACAGCTGGGCTCAAAGCCTGGCTCAGACCCTTGTGGCACTGGGCAAGCCACCTACCCTCTCCACACCTTTTCTTTATCCCTAAGCTGGAGATGACGATACAAATGTGTACCTTTCAGTATTCCATTGGTTGAGGAAAGAGTAGAGGTGCGATGCCTGACATGTAGCAGGCGCTCAATAAACGATAGCTAGTACTGACTATTCTCATAAATGCTGGCTGCCTAGCTTGCTTCATTTGGTTATTAGAACAGGACACAAATAAGAAAACTCAAGTCACACTCAAGAAATTGGTCGTGGAGGACTTCTGGAGCCAGATTCCTACAATGCATTTCGGTGGTGGGAGGTCCTCCGGCCCCTTCCAATGTCCCCACCCCCACCACTTCTCTGTTCTGCTCATAGAAGCACCCTGTCTGTCTGTAGGTGGTAAACTGAGGGCAAGATCCCTTCTCGTAGCAGGGAGAGAGGGGAATGTAAGGAAGTTACCCAAGCCAACAAAGTTCTCATTTTACAGCTGAGTAAACCAAAGCCTTGACATGGGAAGTGCTGCCTTTGTCAGACAGGGTTACTTGGACATTCTGGGCTCTAGAAACTTCCACTGGGGCAAGAGGCCCTAGGAGGCTGTGGCAGGCCTCCTGACGGCCGGAACCACACCTGCAAAGGTTCCACCTGCCTTCATTCTTCCCCTATCTCCTTCCTCCATTTCCAAGCATCTCTTCCCCTCTTTCCCTCCTCCTTCTTTGTTTCTGATCTGTCTTTATACCTTTTTCTATCCCCTTTGTACCAAAGACCATCTTTTGGGCTAAGCCTCTCCTGGCTGTTGAGAGTCTTTGTTTTGTTGTGTTGTGTGTGTGTGTGATTCTCTTTCGTGAGCATGTTATTCTTGGAGACAGAACTGCCCTGGCTTAAGCGATGGGAGGGGAAGGAAGGAGGGCCTGGGTGGGAAGGAGGGGAGGTGGGGGTGGGACATGGCCACCCCTTTGGGACACTGCTGTCTGGGTCCTCCAGGGCATGGGAATCTTAGGGTCATCAGGGAAGCTCCCAGAGTGAAGGGCAGGGACACGTCTTCCCAAAGAGACAATGAAACAGCAAGCGTCAGCCCTCACCTCCTGCCTGGAAAAACAGCCCAGCTACACAGCCACATCCCCTCCTCCAGGGATGGGACAAAGGCTGCAACCAGGCCACTGTGAGAAGCGGCTGCTGGGCAGAGCAGCCTGGAGTCCAGGGTCACCCCGGCCTGTTGCCCTTTCCTCATCCAGGTCCACTTTGCCCTTCTAACCTCTCATGGTCATGCACACTGGTCATTAGATTTCCCATGACCACCCATGACAAGATGAGGCCACAGGAGCCCAGAGAGCTGAGCAGCCTCCCAACATCTCAGAGCCGTGGGCCCTGATTCCCAGGCTCCAGCCGACGTGGCTACTACAGCACAGAGATGGGACATTTAGGCGAAAGGACAGCAGTCTCCATCCCTCAGGGAGCTTGGCTGAGACACCGACCACCAACACATGGCCCAACAGGTTCAATTCCTCTCTGCAAGAAGGTGGGGAAAAGCTTAAAGAATTGTGGGCATTTCCCCTAAAATAACATTTAAGAACATTTTTATCTCTAAAGCAACAGTTCTCAACCTGTGGGTTTCGACCCCTTCACAGGGGTCGCCTAAGACCTTCGGAAAACACATATATAATTACTTATTGTTTCTGTGACTAATCACTATGCTTTAATTATGTTCAATTTGTAACAATGAAATTGGGGGTCACCACAACATGAGGAACCCTTTAATACAAAAGGGTTGCGGCATTAGGGAGGTTGAGAACCACTGCCTTTGGCAAGCAAGAAAATGGCTCTAATTTCCTGAGATTTTACTGATTTCAGCTTTTCACTTAACAGTCCAAGGGGCATTTCATTCACAAACAGTCTCCAGAGGGGAGGGTCCCTCTGAGGGTCAGGACCCTACTACCCATTTGGAAGCTTCATGAGAAAAAGGTGTCATTTCCTCAATACGTATTTAGTTTTTAAAGAAACTGCTGAGTTGATCACAGAATGGCTGTACCACTCGTACTCTCACCAGCAATGTATGAGTGATCCAGTTTCTCCACGCCCTCACCAGCATTTGGTGTTAGCACTCTGTTATTTTAGCCATTCTGACAGCTGTGTGGTGATAGCTCACTCCTCTTCAGTGAACCTTGCTGTACGTTTCTCACGGTTGTGTCACTGCTCTGGAGGCTGGAAGTTCAAGATCAAGGTGTCATCAGGGTTGGTTTCTTCTGAGGCCTCTCTCCTGGGCTTGCAGATGGCCATCTTCTCCCTGTGTCTTCACCGGGTCTTCCCTCTGTGTCTGTGTCCTCATCTCCTTTGATGAGGACACGTCATAATGGATTAGGGCCCACTCAGGTGACCTCATTGTAACCTTAATCACCTCTTCAAAGGTCCTACCTCCAGACATAGTCACATTCTGAGATACTGGAGGTTATAACTTCAGCCTATGGATTTGGTGGGGGACACAACTCAGCCCATAACAGTAGCCAGTAGCCAAATGTTAGTCTGTTACAGGAGTCAGAGGAGTTTTGCAATAAACCAGAGCATTTTCTCAGCAGCATTGCGTCATGAGAGAACATTCCCCCTTTGGCCTCAACCCGCAGATGCTGTGTGAGGAAGTAGTGGACGTAGCAGCTGAATGTCAGGTGACTGTCCGTCCTGGTGTCTCACCATTGCATATGAACAAATTTGACTTCAGTGAAATCATGCCCACGAGAAGCTTACAAGCCTTTGCCAAACAGCCTACGCCAACTGCCCCATAGAGGTCAACTCCGTGAGGGCTCCGGGCAAAGACCCCATGGGCCAGTGAAAAGCCCCAGCCTATGAGCTGGGCTCTGCACTGCAGGTGGGATTTAGAAAAGCCGAGAAGGAGGGCTGGAGGCAGGGGGAGCCTTAAGCAAAGGCAGGGGTGGTTTGGACCACCATGCCCACCAGCCTCGCCTCCCTGGTCCAGCATCCCAGAGCTGGGTGTCCCCTCCTGGGACTGCATCCTCTAACCCGGTCTCCCTCTCTGTGTCCATCTGCAGGGCTCTGGCTGAGACCATGGCCAATGGCATTGACGAGCTCATCGGCATTCCCTTCCCCAACCACAGCAGCGAGGTTCTGTGTAGCCTGAACGAGCAGCGGCACGATGGCCTGCTCTGCGACGTGCTGCTGGTGGTGCAGGAGCAGGAGTACCGCACCCACCGCTCCGTCCTGGCGGCCTGCAGCAAGTACTTCAAAAAGCTCTTCACAGCCGGCACCTTAGCCAGCCAGCCCTATGTCTACGAGATCGACTTTGTCCAGCCAGAGGCCCTGGCCGCCATCCTCGAGTTCGCCTACACCTCCACGCTCACCATCACCGCCTCCAACGTCAAGCACATCCTCAACGCCGCCAGGATGCTGGAGATCCAGTGCATCGTCAACGTGTGCCTGGAGATTATGGAGCCTGGCGGGGACGGCGGGGAGGAGGACGACAAGGAGGACGACGACGATGATGAGGATGATGATGACGAGGAGGATGAGGAGGAGGAAGAGGAGGAAGAGGATGAGGAAGAGGATGACGATACGGAGGATTTCGCTGATCAAGAAAACTTGCCTGACCCCCAGGACATCAGCTGCCACCAGAGCCCTTCCAAGGCGGACCATCTCACTGAGAAGGCCTATGCGGACACACCCAGGGACTTCCCGGACTCCTTCCAAGCCAGCAGCCCTGGCCATCTGGGCGTTATCCGGGACTTCTCCATTGAATCTCTGCTGAGGGAGAATCTGTACCCCAAAGCCAACATCCCCGACAGGAGACCCTCCTTATCTCCCTTTGCCCCAGACTTCTTCCCACACCTCTGGCCAGGGGACTTTGGTGCCTTTGCCCAGCTGCCCGAGCAGCCCATGGACAGTGGGCCCCTGGACCTGGTCATCAAGAATCGGAAGATCAAGGAAGAGGAGAAGGAGGAGCTGCCCCCACCCCCGCCCCCACCCTTCCCGAATGACTTCTTCAAGGACATGTTCCCGGACCTTCCCGGGGGGCCGCTGGGCTCCATCAAGGCGGAGAATGACTATGGTGCCTATCTCAACTTCCTGAGTGCCACCCACCTGGGGGGGCTCTTTCCACCCTGGCCCCTGGTGGAGGAGCGCAAGCTGAAGCCCAAGGCCTCTCAGCAGTGCCCCATCTGCCATAAAGTCATCATGGGGGCCGGTAAGCTGCCGCGGCACATGCGGACCCACACCGGGGAGAAGCCATACATGTGCAACATCTGCGAGGTCCGCTTTACCAGGTGCGCATGGCGGCCCCCAGGTGGGGGTCCCAGCTGGGAGAGGGTCGGAGGCTGCAGTGATGGCAGCAGAGAGGGGATGGGTGTGCGGGGGTGGGGCAGGGATGGAGAGAGAGACCCAGTTCAGGGGAGGTCCCACTGGATCCTAGATGCACATCAAATTCATTGCAAGAAGGCGTGCTAGGCATTACTTGGTGCAGTGATTTTCAAGCTCTTTTTAAAAGGGAAAATAGTTTCTTTAAAAATATTTTTTTTCTTAACTACAATATTAAGTGGAAGGCAAAATATAAAACAGATCAGAGCAGAGCTGTAAGACAGAAGTGAGGAGCCTCAGTACCTTGCTCACTTGGCCTCCCTCCCTCCCCAGTGTAGATCCACAGAAGCCAATTGAAGTTCCCCCGAGGAGTGGAGTGCAGCCCTTCTATTTTATTTGGAGCATGTTCAATATGCCAGGGCTGACCTAAGTGTAGTCTCTATCCTCTCACCCCAGCCCTGCCCTTTGAAGACAGGGAGGTGCTATATGGCCTTTGTTTACAGATGAGCACTCCATCCCCCCCCTGTGGCTGGTTGGCCACTCATAGTGCAGCTAGGAAATGGCAGAGCTGGGACTTACTCGTAGGACAGCAAAATCTGTGACGGGTGGCTACAGAGAACTCTCAAGTTTTGTAGCCAAAATTGGTGGGTGGGATGTGGGGGTCGGATTTGCCCACTGCTAGGTATTGATGGGCCTGGTATGTTGTGTTGGTGCTGTGAGACTGATCTTCCCAGCCATGTCCTCAGTAGGGACGGTTCTGGTGGCGGTCTTGCATCAGGGCCTGGTCGTTTCAGTGTGTCGGATGTAGCATCTGGTGGATGTCTGTCCTGTGACCCTGACCTTCTCAATGAGGTCCTTGGCCCACACGGCCACTGTCCGTCAATGAGCTCACCCCGAGAGACCCATACGTCTGCCAACGGTGCTGCCGTCAGCCCGCGTCTGGGAAATGTCTCCGTGGGAATTGCTGGGGGGCTTGTTCTTCTGATTCTCTTCTTCAATGGGCCCAAACCTTTGGTCTTTGAGGATAAAGCGAAATTTTTTGAATTATGTCAAATATTGAATAAGGGCCATGTTTTTCGGGGGAACACAAGTTCTGTGAAGTAACGAGACCTACGTTTTTGGGTGGCCTGGAACTCTATCAGAGGTTACCGGAGAAGGGCATCAGAAATATATATTCAGGTGACACTGGCATTGCCAAAATAGCTCAGTGGGCTTGTTCATTCGGTGACTACTTCTGGTCTTGGGGTCCTCGCACAGCTGCTTCTGTGAGGGAATCCCCAAGCAGAACTTCTCCCAGACCCTTTGTGCTAACAGTGGGGGGAGAATCTGGACCTGGACCTCAGATTCCCTCCCCGAGATTCACCTGCCCTCAGGTGTCTTTCATTACTGGCCCTGCCACTCTAATGCTGCCTTAGGCGATGCTTGCCTCTCCCACCCCACCTCCTCCTGAATTCACTGAGCCCCACAAGCCTGGCTAGAACGCCTGAATGAGGCTGACAGAAGCCCAGGAGAGCAGACGGGAGACCAACCAGAACATCATAGGGGGCCAGCACAGCTCACTCATCTCCTGCCGGTGACTTCCCAGCCCAGCCCCAGGGAGTGACTTCAGAGCGTTGCCACTCTTCCCAGGCCAGATCCAAGACAGGCAGCCCTGCAGTGGCCCGGAGCTTCCCCTCCTGCCACCCAGGGTCTAGCTCCGAACTTTCACGTCTGTTCCCTGTGCTGATGGCTGCCACTGAGACCTCTCCTGGCAGGAGGACTCAGGTCCACAGCTTCAACAGGATGCATGTCTCAGGGCACAGCACCATGACCCTGCCCAACCCCCCAAGTCTCCACCTTAATTCCCTCCCTGTTCCTCCCCTCCAGGCCTTTCCCACCTGCAGCGTCTGTGAGGACCACACCAGTCTGGGCCCTGCCTTCCCTCGGGAAAGTTTTAAACGTGGGCGGACAGACTCCTCTCCCTCCTGACCCTAGAAGGTTCTCTGAGTAGGCCTCCCATTGGGCAGCGATGCTGGGTTGCACAGGAGGTCTGCATTCCAGAACCCTTCCTCCCAGCACATTCCTGGTGATCACTTAGGGTGGCCTCTGCCTGCAGCCTCCCCACCCTCCAGGTCAGATGGCCTGTGCCCTCCTGGCCATCCAGCCATCTGCCCTGCCCTCCCCTCCTCAGTGACATTCCAGCCTCCGTCAGCACCTCCCCCTCAGGGTTCCCACTGGGCTCTGACAGGCCTGAGAAAGATCAGAAAAGCTCTGGCCCGCCCGCCTTCCTGGGAGGCTGGAGCGAGTTTTCCTGGCTCCTTCGGAAAAGGAACTGTACTTGTCCCTGTGGGCTGTGCTGTCCCTGTGGAACACCTCCGACCCCCTCCCTGGCACATTCTTCACAGTCACTGGTTCCTTGCTTCCCTCCTGCCACCTCCCTAGAACTGCCCTGCACGGATCCTTTTTGGTCTGTGGAGAATGCCAACGCTGGCCTGCCCAGATCGAGGCTTCCTGTAACTGTCTGCAGCCAAATCCCCCTGCAGCCCTACTCTAGGGACCTTCCTTGTGGCTAACTTCCTGTAGCCACCTTTGGTAACACCTCTTCCCCTTCCCCCGCTGGGGGCTCTTCAGCAGCCATTTAAAGCAACAGCTGCTGCCTCTTGAACTCAGAATTCCCAGGCTCCCTGGAAAGGCCAAGCCACTCCCTGGGACTGGGCCCCCAGAGGCCGAGGGAGCCAGACCTGCTGCCTTCAATCCTCCTCTTGGACAGTTTCCCTTTCTGAATCTCAACTGAGCTTCTGCTTGCTGGCCAGGCCTCTTTCCTTTCTCCTAAATGCTGACCCATCCATCCCTCTTGGGAGATGTTGGAGAGGGCCTACCCTCCCCCTGCAAGGTGACCCTGTGTCACAGGCTCCAAGATATGGCCTCAGATGCCAATGCCCAGAATGTCCACACCCCATGAGGATGTCATTCCTCATGACTTCAGCAGCCACAACAGGGTGGAGGGGCCTGGGGTCCTCCCATGCTTCTGTCCCTAAAGGCTGCCTGCACCTTCCATGGTACGCTTCTCCAAGAACAGGGACCGCCATTGCTGTCTATTCCTTGGAGTCGGAGCCCTCACCTCTGAATCAGCTCCAGATTTCAGCCAGTCCCACCAGTTGTCCCACCACTGGTTGCTCCATAGATGAGACACCCCTGGAGCCCTGAGCAGGGACTCAAAGACCAACCAGACTGTGCTTCTGTGGCCCCTTGCTGACCCCACTCAGCTCTGGTCACCGCTATGAGTCCCTCTGCCTTGCCCGAGTCTGTGTTTACACTCTCCAGGAGTTGTCCAATGTCACCATTTTCTTCCTTAAAAAGAGATGGCTTCACCAGGCTGGTGTGGCTCAGTGGTTGAGCGTTGAACCATGAACCAGGAGGTCGCAGTTCGATTCCTGGTCAGGGGACAAGCCTCAGGCTCGATCCCCAGTGGGGGGTGTGCAGAAGGCAGCTGATCAATGATTCTCCCACTGATGTTTCTATCTGTCTTTCTTTCTCTGAAATCAATTTTTAAAAAAATTTTTTTAAAGAGAGAGATGGCTTCTACCACAACCGATCCCATTGGCTCCACCTTGGGAGAGAGAAGTCTGGATCAAGGCTCCCCCAGGTCTTCTTCATCAGGAGTCCCGCTATTCCCAGAAAGTCTGGAAGCAGGGCCGAAGGTCAGGACCACAGGGTTCTGCCAGACCTGGCCCCTAGCACGGGCCTTGAAGAAAAGGGAACAAATGAGCCGGGAAGATGAGAGGCGTTGTCTCTCTGCATGCAGAGGGATGCTGCTGCCTCGGTGGGCATTTTCCCTGCCACCCAGACCACAGATTGTCCCCCTCGTTGTCACGCTGCAGCCCTCATCACTGCCAACAGGGCCTGCCCCTGGGCTGTGAAGGCCTCAGAAGACCCTTAATTTTCCCTAATGTCCGTCACCTTGGTCCTTGGGTGCAGGCAGCCTGTGAGGGGAGCACCTAGAGAGCATGGCTGGGCAGCCTTCCCTCCTGCAGCCCCTGCAGCCCAGCTATCAGAGGTGCTCCAGCCACGTCCGGCCGGGCAGGTAATAAAGGCATGAAACTGCAGGATTTGCGAAAGGGCCGGCCCCTGAGCAACAGAAGCCCCATCCTGTCCTTGGGAAAAGATGGACAACCTTTGAGCCCTGAAAAGTCACTCTCTGGTGAGCCATGGTCTCCCCAGTTTCCACTGGATCCCCACCCAGCAGCCCCTAAAGGTTGCAACTTCTAGTTTTCAACCCCTGCCTCCAGGGTGAGCCAAAAAAACTGTCTGCTCTCTGAAAAAGGCCAGAAGCATGGCTTCTTTTTCATTCTGTATTTTCCTTTTAGCTTTCTCAGTCCTGGCAGCTCTGGGGACCTTATTAAGATAATGTAATGTCATTAGCAGTGGCAGAAGGAAGAGTTGGTCTCTGACCATCAGGTTACCATGAAGTCTGAGAGGATGGTGCTGGGAAAGCATTAGCCTGACAGGGGCCTTCGTGGAGGCTGAGGTCCTGGGCGAGACCTGTGGTCCCTTATTTTCCCTTGGGGTGCTCACGAGTGCAGGCACATCTTTCTTGATGCTGAGTTCTCCCAGCTGAAAGGAGGTGCAGATCATGGTTTGGGTGCACGTGACCTGGCTGGTCCCTGGTGCAGGGTACAGGGAGGGGATGGCAGACAAGGGGATCAGGATGAGAAAGAACCATGCTGGAGTTTCGGGTTCTGAAAACTGGCCCTGCACCAGCAGGTCATTAGTCAGTCAACAAATGCTCCAGGAGCGTCCACTCCATTCAGTGTCGTGCACTGAGCAGACTACAAGAGCGTCTGACAGGTCCCTATCAAAGCAGGGGCCAGTACCATCTGCGCCTCGTGCTAGGTGAGGGCCGAGAGAGCAGCACCTGGCACTGGCACACAGATGAGCAGCTGAGTGAGTGGCTGGAGAGCTAGCATCTCTCAGTGACTGTGTGGCACCTCGGAGAGAGCACTAGGCGACCGTCAGGAACCCAGGTCCGGGGTCTGGTTCTGCCTCTAACTAGCTGTGTGACTTTGGCCAAGTCTGCTCCCCACTCTGGGCCTCAGTTTCCCCATGTGTAACATGAGGGGGTAGGAGCAGGTGCTCCCTAAGGTGGCTCCCAGTTTTATGACTTCATTTACATATTGCCCACGATCAGGAAAGCTATGGACAGACACGGGACTGATGGAGGCTTTTCATGGGAGCAGGGCAGAGCGGTGAGTAGAGTGGTCAGAGCTCATGGGAAGTTAGTCCTGGGAAAAACGTAGAGATCATCTGGTTTATCAAGAGCCTGTTAACATGTCTGATTGGTAGTCTGAGTCAGGGGGCCCAGTGACCTGTGTTATGTGCAGTACATTTCGCAGGACTTTGAAAATTCTGATCTAATCCAGTTTGCCTTCATTTCCTCATGGGAGGGGGGACTGGAAGTCCAACTCATGCCAGCAGGAGTTCAAAGATGCAGCGTTGACTGGCATGTGGCCTGCAAGGGGAGCCGCATGTCCGTGGTGTGTGGGTGCAGTACTATGTACGGGGAGGGGCGGGGCTGGCAAAGTAGGTGGGGTGATCTTTTCTTAGCTTTCCTGAGATATAATTGACATATGTCATTGTATATGTTCAAAGTATACACTGTGATGATTTGATATGTGTATTATTGCGAAATGATTCCCACAATAAGGTTAGTTAACACTCATCACCTCACATCGTCACCTTTCTAGTGTGGGTGTGGTGGAACAGTTAAGATCTACTCTCTTAGCAACTCTGAAGTTCACACTACATTCTTGCTAACTGGTCAACGGGAGTCCTCAGAACTTAGTGATCTTGTAAGTGATTGGAAGGGCTGAGCTTGTACAGGCCTGGAAAGCTATGCTAACGGTGAGTTAGCACCTAGGCCACTGGACGGAGGAGGCCTTGAGAGGTATTAAGCAGGACCACAGGCCTGCAGTCCTGGCGGGGGGTGACCAAGAGCTCAGCTCCTGAGGTCCAGGCTAGAACACTTTCCAACGACACTCATGCTGTCTCCGCGGGCAGCTTAGATCCGAGAAGAAGCAGGCGTAGAAGAGCCATGCTACAAATATGAAGCCAACTCACAAGAAAGAAATTCGGTTATACCCCTTTACTCAGACGCAAGCACAGAACACCAGAGGTCAAAATGGTACAGCCCAGCCCAAATTTTAGAGGTCAGGAAATGGGGGGCCCACGCCAGCCAGGGGCCTGCTGTGGCTCTGGGAGTATGCCAGGCCCAGCCTTGCCAATGTGCACACACATCCCACTCTCCACCCCACGTCCATTTCCCAGGCGCACGTTCAGTACAGTCTGGTGAAAAGGTCATTCCAGAATAAGGAGGCCGTGTGATCTTAGAAGCCCTCCCCTCTCTGGTCTGTGGTTTTCTCATCTTGAAGGTGAGGGAACTGCATTAGATCAGTAGTTTCAAGGTCCCGAGAAATGTACTGCTCATAACACAGGTCACTGGGCCCCCTGACTCAGACCTGTTAACAGGCTCTTAGCAAACCAGATGATCTCTAAGTTTTTTTTCCAGGACTAACTTATCATGAGCTTTGCCCACTCTACTCACCACCCCGCCCTGCTCCCACGAAAGGCCTCCATTAGGCCAGCTCCCTGCCCAGGGCTGGGTTCCTACCGCAGCATGTCCCAATCTCCTGGGCCCAGAGGCAGAAAGCTGGCAGCAGATGCCTCATCTTGACTGTTCTGGTCTTTACTTTCTGGGGCAGCCCTTATAGGCCTTGGGCTGAAAGTCCCAGTTTGAAAATCCACCTGTTTTCAACCTCAGAACAGCTTGCAAACAAACCACACCCCAAGTAGCTCCCAGCTCCCTTTGCCCATCACCGGCTGGATACCTTTGGGAAAGCTGCTTGACTTCTCTGAGCCCCGACTCTTCCTCTAAGTGAAGAAATTACTCCAGGTGTGTTGAATCGAACTCACATAAACCTAGATTTCCTCATTAGCCCCGAACAATAGAATTACTGTCTGGCCCTCGGTTCAGCTCTGTACAGAGGGTTAAATAACTTGCCTAAAGGTGACCCGGCAAGTTAGTGGTGGGTCTGCTGCTACAGCAGGGGCTCCAAGACTCCAAATAGGGAACCCACCCCTACACCATAACTTGCCTCTGAATAACAGTTTTCCCGGGTCACTGAAATGGTATATTCACCTGCCCATAGCAGGTGCTCTATGAAAGGAAGATATAATCACCTTCTTGGTACTTCTCCCACATTTGAGCCAATCGCCATTGAAATGTGATTTATTTTAGATGCCCAAATGAAAAGCCTGGGAGAAGCTGTGGTTATGTACAGTAGGCCCTTGCTATTAGGAGATTTACCCTTTGCATTGTCCATTATTTGAGGGTGAGCCCTCAGGCCATTACTACAAATTATGTGTAATAGTGATTTTTGAAAAGAAATCTACCTTATAAGGTTGTGGTGAGGCTTAAATGAGGTGCTATATTTAAAGCCCCTGATAACTCTAAGCCAGCGGTTCTCAACCTGTGGGTCGCGACCCTTTTGGCGGTTGAACGACTCTTTCACAGGGGTCGCCTAAGACCATCCTGCATATCAGATATTTACATGACGATTCATAACAGTAGCAACATTACAGTTATGAAGTAGCAACGAAAATAATGTTATGGTTGGGTCACAACATGAGGAACTGTATTCAAAGGGCCAGAAGGTTGAGAACCACTGCTCTAAGCTGAGTCCTCCGCCTGGTGAGTTCAGGAGTCAGACAGCCAGTGGGTGAGCCTAGCTGACCACCTAACGCCAGTTTCCATCAGGGCCTGGGTGAATGGGTGGGGTCCCAAGACATGTCCCTCAGGACTGTGCAGCTTTGCTCTCAGGGTTCAAGTGCACTGTGCACCCCACTGTACTTCCTACAGTGGTGAGGAAAGAGGCCTGGGCTGGGAGCCAACAGGCCTGATTCTCGTCCCAGCTCTGCCATTCACCTCTGGATGACCTCGGTGACTCCCCCTCCTAGGGCCTCAGTTTGCCCACCTGCAGAGTGAAGAATGAGCCTAGACCCTTGGTTCTTAGAGTGGTCCATGGGCTCACTAGCTTCAGCAGTGGCGGCGGCATCGGTCAGCTTGTTAGACATGCAAATTCTCTGCCCTCTCCATCCCAGACCCACTGAATCAGACTTCTGGGAGTGGGGCCCAGCACCGTTTCATCGAGCCCTGGTAATGGTTCTGATACAATATCAAGTTTGAGGCCTGCTGGCTCAGATGCTCTCTAAGGCTTCTTACTGCTCAAACATCCAATCATCTGGGGGAAACGAGGGTTACAGCATGCTGGGGGGAGGGGCATGGGATGTCACATCAGGGAACTACGCAGCCTGGGGGCAGCTGATGGTTGTGGGAGGGACAGGGGATGTGGAAGAGAGGAGGGGCTGGTGTGTGGAGGACACCAGCCAGCCCACTTCCTCCTCTCTGCCCATCCCACTCCCCACACCCACGTCCATTCCTCCAGCCTTCCTGTGAGCACAGGGGGAAAGGGCAGGTCTGGTCCCCTTCCCTGGTCCCTGCCAGTGTACACAAGAGCCTCCTGCCTGGCCCCTGAGGAACCAGTCGGAAAATGAAAGCCAGTGAGACCTCTAGTGGCCAGGGGACCCCAGGAGACCAGGCCCTCTGCTCCTGCTGTCCTGGGGTTGTGTTAAAGGCGGTTTATTTAAATCTGGCCATTTTAGGGTGGACACCTGAGCTCCACATCTGCTCTGACGTCAAAGCCCAGCCAAAAATTACAGGCAGATGTTCCACCCAAGCCAGGCCTGCAGGGTGGAGGTGGCCGACTGGACACAGAGCTGCCCGGCCTGCGGGTCTGACCAGGAAAGGCTTCCGAATGATCGTGAGAGGAGTCCTTGCAGCCCAGCTGACTCCACCACAGCCAGGCTGAACCACTCCTTGAGCTGGTTCATGCAGGCTCAGTCTTGAGGGAAAAACCCTAGGATGTCAGCTTTCCTCTCAAGACCACCAGGAGGTGTACTGAATGTAGTACAACACAAACCCGCATTCTCTTCGTCAGCCCTGGACAGTAGGAATTGACGCCTGGGCGGAGGTTCGGCTCTGTGCAGAGAGGTTAGGTAACTTGCCCAAGGTCCCCCAGCATGTCAGTGGTAGGTCTGCAGCTGGAGCAGGGGCTCCCAACCCCCAGTGCGAGCCCCACCCAACACCATTCCTTACCTCTGAATAATCCCACTTACACCCTCAGGAGCTTTGCCATGGATTAGGCCGCATTCTTGTTGCACCTGGCTCTTTTGTAAACCCTGGAATTGTCTGCAGACAAAGAGCAGAGCCCAGGCTTGGGATAAGAAAACACCATGCAGGAGACTTGAATGAGGTGTGCCGGCTGCTATAGCCTCCCAGGTTAGCCCTGAGGACAGACGGAGCCCCACAGCCCGGCTGGGATGGGCCCTGGGGCTCTGGGCCAAAGCACATGACAAACTGGAGGGAAGTGGGCAGGAGATTCAGGTGCAACCCCGTTTCAGAGGTCACTGTCCCTCCAGGGGACTAAGGACAGACTGCCGACTTGTGGGGATGTGTGTCGCCAGCAGGCCTTTGTCCAGCCTGTGGGCCGGCTCTGGCGGACTGGGAGCTTCACTGCTCAGAGCTCAGCAGCAGAAGGGGTTCTGAGTTGGGGAGGTCTTTCAGGACCCCCTCTTTCTCCCGCCGGCTGAGCCAGGTGACAGCCACACCTGTTGGGGTGGGGCACTGGTGCCATTCCTGGGGTTTGAGACCAGGGCAGCATAGCCTGTTCTGGAGGCAGGGGGCAGGGGGCAGAGGGTTAGGACTGACTCCCGGCGTTCCGGGCAGGAACTGACTCCCGGCTCTGCATTGCAGGCAGGACAAGCTGAAGATCCACATGCGGAAGCACACGGGGGAGCGGCCCTACCTGTGCATCCACTGCAACGCCAAGTTCGTGCACAACTACGACCTCAAGAATCACATGCGCATCCACACGGGCGTGCGGCCCTACCAGTGCGAGTTCTGCTACAAGAGCTTCACGCGCTCCGACCACCTGCACCGCCACATCAAGCGCCAGAGCTGCCGCATGGCACGGCCGCGGCGGGGCCGCAAGCCCGCCGCCTGGAGGGCCGCCAGCCTGCTCTTCGGGCCCGGGGGCCCGGCCCCGGAGAAGGCGGCCTTCGTGATGCCCCCGGCGCTGGGCGAGGTGGGCGCCCACCTGGGCGGGGCCGCCATGTGCCTGCCGGGCCCCAGCCCCGCCAAGCACTTCCTGGCGGCGCCCAAGGGCGCGCTGAGCCTGCAGGAGCTCGAGCGGCAGTTCGAGGAGACGCAGATGAAGCTGTTCGGGCGCGCCCAGCTGGAGGCCGAGAGGAACGCAGGCGGCCTCCTGGCCTTCGCGCTGGCCGAGAACGTGGCCGCCTCCAGGCCCTACTTCCCGCTGCCTGACCCGTGGGCCGCGGGCCTGGCTGGCCTCCCCGCGCTCGCCGGCCTCAATCACGTGGCCTCCATGTCTGAAGCCAACAACTAGGCTGGTCCTGTCTGCCCCGGCCCAGCTGCGCCGGCCTCTCTCCCAGCGGGCCCACCTGCCCCATCCAGCGGATCGGAACTTATTCCAAAATCACAAAGAAAGAGATGAAATATCTGTCAGCAGCAATGGTATTTCCCGGGCCTCCTGCGGCAGCTGCCTCCCTTTTGCTTCTGTCTGAGATGGGCATCTCCCCTCAGCGGGGCCAGCCTCTCCCTGACTGTCTGGCTCTCATAGGGGACTCACAGGGTCCCAGCCTCAGAGGAGGCCCCACGCTGGGTGCCCCAAGCACTCCCAGCTGTGCCTGCAGGGAGGAGGCTGGGCCAGAGGCAAACCAGATGCAGCAGATGAGGGGAGGGGCCTGGGCACACCCCTGGCTGAGCCCCACAGCCTAAGGCAGAGTCCCTGTGGACACTGCTCTGGTGGGTCCTGTTGGCAGGGAGGCCTCCTGGAGTCCGGAGCGAGTCTCCTGGAGTCCGAGCCCATTTTTTCCTCACCGTCCTGTGACCTCGAACGGGTCAGCTTTCTGTACCCCAGTTTCACACTCCTATGAAGGGGGGCTGGTGATTTAGTTTTTCCTCTCCCACCACCCACCCACTTGCACATGCCTGTTCCTCCAGCAGCGGGTGAAAATGGCTGGAATATGGGAGTTAGTTTTATCACATCCACCTCTGTATTCGCACAGGTGAGACGTGTGGCCAAACTAGGACCGGTGACAGGGAGAGGGCTGGGTGGGGATTGGCCACAGGCCACAGGCAGCTTTGGGGAAGACCACACATTCCCCTCTGTTCTCTGGGCAGCCTGCTGTGCATGCCTGCGATGACGTTAGCATCTACCCCACCTCCACGCACCACCTCCAAAGCTGCAGGGCAAGCATGTCAAACTCGCAGCCTGAGGGCCACATGCCTCTTTATTTGGCCTGTGTTCGCCTTTGAGTTTGACATGCTTGCTGTAGGGAGTCCTGAGGTCAACACAGAAGGGATGGGGACCCCGTCTTAACACCGGTCAACTGCCTGCCTCTACTTTGATCCCCGGAAATAGACCAAACTCCTGGTTCCCCCGGTTTATCTGTTTGCTTTTCAAGTTGTGGGTTTCCCTTGGCTGCATTTGAACACCCTCGACCCTTCCCTCCAGGGATGAAGCTGGGGTGTGGCTCCCCTCAGGGCAGGGAGGCTGAGCCTAGGCTCCAACATGGGTCTGACGGGCTCTGTGAGGTGGGCTGTCCACACACTCTCCCTGGTTCTCGAGTTTGTAGCAGGTCCTGAGAAGGAAGACAGCTCTGCTGGCCCAGTGCCTTCCTGCTCTCTCCCCTCTCCTGCCTTCCCTCCCTTTCCTTGCTGAGTTTGCTTTTGCTTCCCAGTAGCCAGGAAAGGAGGAGCATTCATCCACACAGGCTGATGCTCCCACCCCGGGAGCTGTGGGCCCCGAGACCTTACTCTTCTTCTCGCCTTGGCTTCTTCCTGCAAACACAACGAACAAAAAGGCCAGAGAAGACCACGGACTCTGTCACGCCCCCAGCTCCCCAGAAGAGACCCCTGACGCCACACCAGACGCCCTCAGATGCCATTATGCCCAGAGGGGATTGATTGCTTTGGACACCCTCTTATCTTCACAGCCACTGCTTGGGCAGCCACCTCTTAGATTTCTGTCTCCTTTCCTGACACTTGCTGACATGCCATGTCCCCCCACAAGCCAGGGGATTGGGGCTGACCCAAACTTTAAAAGAAAACAAGGGAAATGAACTAATTGGAATCCAGTGGTATCGGGCTTTTGTTTTTATTTGTAAAGGTAACGCCTTCTTATAAACTCCGTTTTTTCAGATGACTGGTTAGTTCTCTTTGTTTTCTCTCGGCTGCAGTCTGGAGCTGTACATTGTAAAACATCCAAAGATGCTGAGTACTGTACGTTCAAGGAGAACCTGAAGCGAATGGGTTGTGGGGCAGGGGGTTGTTTGGTTTGGTTTCCCTTCTATTTTTTTATTTTTGGATGTTCCGATTTCCCTCTCTGTCTGTGGGAGAACTTTGGGATTTTTTCTATTTATAACTCTTTTTTTTTATGTGATTGCTTTATGTAAAATGACTCTCAACAAAGTTTGCCTTAGTGATTCAAGGGACAATCTTCCGTAACGTTGGTCGCACGCCGCATCCCGCCGAGAAAACTCTCAGCTACTTTTCTGGCCTATTTATTAAACAGTATTCCTTGACTTGATTAAATTATATTGAGAGGTGGCAGCAACAAGCCAATCTGTAGACGTTCGTGGCTTAAGGTTTTGACGATTGGGTGTCATAAACTTGCAATAATGTCAAAGACACCTTTCCAACACAGCACAACCCTTGGCCCTTATTTAATCATTTGGAGGACAGTGTTTTGAGGGAAAGAAAGCTACCCCTGCTCAATGCCCTGGTTAACCTGGACGCCCCCTGCCCTTTCTCATGTTGGTTGCCAGTGGGTGGTTGACTGATGGGGAGGCCAGCACTCCGTTCTTTAATGGTCTCCTGCATTTCAGCTTTGCGAGCCACTGTTTGATCATAAGCTTTTGGACATCTGGGAGCCTGAGTGTGAGAGGTGTGTGTGCGTGTGTGTGTGTGTGTGTGTGTGTAAGCATATACACATGCATGTGCAGATACAGCCTGCGGTGTGTAAGCAAAAGAACATCGGAGTGTTGCTGACCGTTTTAATGCAACCAGTCCTACTGGCTCCCTGGTGTGGCGTCCAGGGGGTCTGCGGGCGGCCCTGCTACCTGGGCCTCCTTCCTCGCGTTCCCTGGCACTGGAGTTGGACTTCTCTTCTCACCTGAGCCTTCTCCCCCGAAGAGGGACTGCTGGATCCAGAAAGAGGTAAGGAAACACACTCTGCCCTCGAATGGGGTCAGCTCTGCTCAGAACCCAGAGCACAGATTCTGAATGAAACTGTCCTTTGAACTACGTTTTCCGGATAACCAAAGCCAGCCCAGAGCCCCTTTTCTGTGCCACTCCCCTTGCTTGCCATAGTAAGCGCTCCTATAAACCTAGCGCAACGCTTCTCGGTACAGAGAAAGGACAAGCCTGGGCTTCAAATCCAGACTCCTCTGAGCTGGGCATCCTCAGGTTAATTACTTCTCTCCTCTGGTTGTGACTCCCCTCTCCTCTAATAAAAAGGAGGTTGAGTACATCAGCGTTTCTCCAAGTTCTCTCCCCAAACACCCCTCAGCAGAGGAACCAGCCCACTGGGGGACGGCAGAGCCCTGAGGAACCTTTGCGTGGGGTAAAAGTCCTCTGCGGCCTCACGTTCTGGCTCTGGCCAGGGCTTGCCCTTTCAGAGAAGCGGGCAGGGCCTTGGAAGGTGCCCACCTGCAGGGCCGCATCCCGGCAAGCATTTTCTCCCACATGTTCCTTCTCTCCTGGGACCCTGCCAGCTCTTCCTCCCGGAGGTGCTCTGAGCTACTGTGGTGCATATTTCCAGAAGCAGCACCACTGGGTGTCCCCCCCCCTCCACCCCCCACCGTGTGCACTCTTCCTTCTGAAAGCTGGGGGAGTTGGGGCTTCTAAGGGAAAGAGAGAGGGCGGGGCAGGGAGGCCTTGTCTGCCACAGGCCCCTCCTCTGCAGAGTCTGTCCTTCCCAGGAGCAGCCAGGGAGGAGGCCCTGCAGGAGGGAAAAGCAACCTGCATGCAGAGGCCCTCCAGGGACCTGGGACAGATTCTGAAGTCAAGCATGTTACTATCCAGCGGGCCCACCTCCCAACCCCCCAGTGCACGCCTCTCTCCTCCGGGTGCCCCTTCCTATCCCAGCCGCCCTTCAGGATGTAGGTTCCCTCCCCTCTCTGCCCTCCCCTCTGTTCCAACGCTGACCAGAGCCACCCAGGGTGCACGCGACTCACGGGCTCCCTCTCCTGACCTCAGCAGCCCCTGTGCCTCCTCCGGGCTGGAAAGAAACACCCTGAGCCAAGCGATGTCAGGCCTCAGGAGCAAATCGGGTGGCTAATTTGGACAGCTGGCCTTGAAATCAGACCAGGGGGCAGTTACCAGCCAGCCTGGGCCTCCTGCTCCCTCACCTCCCTCCCTTGCCCCGCCCCTCCGATCCCAGATGCAGGAGGCCTATAGCCTCCTTCCCTCCCTTCAGGTTTGCAGTGCCGAAGACTGAGTCAAACATGCATTTCCAGGAATTGATGGGGAGAGGATTCCCTGGGGAGGCCCCACTCATTTTCCCTCCTCGCTACATCCTGGGCAGAGGCGCCGTGACCTTGGTCGGTAGCACCCACATGGCCTAAGCCAAAAAAATACGGGTCCAGAAATGGCCTCACAAATAAGGACAAGACATCTCAAATCGGACAACCCTGGAAAACCTGAAAACTGATCACTTTACCTGCAGCCAGACATGCACACACACAATCATCAGACAAATGATACACAGGCTGATGTCATCCTCCTTGTAACAATAGGAGACATGGCAGTGCATGGACAAGACCCGGCAAAGCCATCTTCCCCACGGGTCTCCCTGCTGGAATATTTATAACGCACACTCTCACTTTCATCCCCGTGGTTCCCCTATTGAGCCATGAACTCTGGCCCTGACAACAGAAGCAAATGAATAAACAAATCATTTTCTGGAATAAGGAAGGAAGAGAGAGTGAATCAGACCCCTTTCTGGTGTTCCTCTAAAAATTAACCAATTAAGCACAAACCCTCCGAGTAACGTAGTGCCTTTTCGGCGGATTTGGAGTCCATTGATCAGTGGGATTTAGCCCCAGGAAGCACACACCATAAATACATGTCCCCGTTTGTATCAGTCGGAGTTTCGTCAAACACCAGAACCCACTCTAAGCAGCTAGAGGAGCAAAGGCGTTTATTAAAGGGAACTAAAGTCTCTCACAGAATTCCCACCAGGGCCAAAGAGCCAGGCCTGCAGGGCCACCAGAGCAGCTGTGCGGGTTGCGTACTGCACAATAGTGGCACCGTTGAGGGGTGCCCTTCACACCCTACACTGATTTGTACATTTTTTACAATATACATTAGATCTGTATATCATAGCAACTTCCCAGCAGATGGCAGTAATGTGTCTAGAAGGGGTTCCCTGGTCTAATTTTGCCCAAAGTCCATGGCCTGGAAGCGAGGAAGCAGGGAGAACCCCACACCGCAGCATCAGACTGCTCCTACAGAGATGCGATTGCTGCTGCTGCTGCCAGGCACAGACCCCACGCTCACCCGACTAACACGAGGCGTGCCCGGGCCACTGGGACTCTACTCTTCTCCCCAGAAAACAGATTTCACGTGTCTGGACTTGCATTGCTTGGTGCTGGTGCATCTGATTGGGAAAGCCATGCCTCTGTTGATTGCAGGTTGACTGGGAAAGGAAGCTTCTGGCTTCTACCTTTTTTTCTCTTCCAGGCAGAGTTCCAGGTGGCTGGGGAGGACTCAGAGACTCCCTCCAGTCTGCATTCAGACCCAGCCCTCACCCTGGGGATGCTGGCAGACTGACCCAGGGCTCCTGTCCAGTGGGCACCAGTGTTCCTCAGCATCCTTGCTCAGCCTGTTTCTCTGTTCGTAAAAAGAAGGAGGTGATACCATCTGCTTGGAGGGTCTCTGATGAGATTCCAGGGGGCATAGGGAACACCAGCCCTGCCTGCCACCTAGTGCCTCCTCTGTCAATGTCGGTCTTCTTTCTTCTTTCCTCTGTGATCCATCAGTAACGTTGAGAATGGTGGTGCTTATTTATGTTTCCTCGCCTTTTATTCTTCAAATGAAAAAGGAAGGAGGGAGGGAAGGAGGGGATGAAGGGAAGAGGGGAGGGGAGGAGGGGAGGAGGAGGAGATGCACTCATTACTAATCCCAGTGATTATCTGAGTTGCTGTTTTGGATAATCTGATGATGGTGGTTAATCAATTGCCAGTTCCTGTGGGAAAGCTGGAGGAGGAAGTGACAAGGACATCCTCTTTTTAAATCAGAATGTGGAGCTGGTGATTTCTCAGAGTTTTCTGGCATGTAAAGCTGTTTGAAGGCACCCAGGGAGACCCATTCAACTGCAGAACTTTGATTACATGTGGCTGGGGCCTCCTCTCCAGATGCTTCCCAATTACAGCCCAACCTCCCTGGGCTCCCCAGGGCCCAGTGGGGACCTCTCTGGGGCTGACAGAGCCGTGGGTAGGGAGGCCAGCAGAGGCTGTGGTGCCTGAGCCACATGTTGGGGAAAAGGAATCACAATCGGATCCTAAGGATTAGGCTTGGGAAGATGGGAAGAATCGTCAGCACTGCCTTTTGGCCTGGCAGCCAGGCTCCTGCCCTGGCCCCATGCTTTGCAGGGCTCCCCGTGGGGCATGGAATCTGAGGAGCCAGGAGCCCATGCCCCTTATGGGCAGAGAGTGGGCAGGGTACTTGGGACCCTCTATTCCCTGTTCCCAGCACCTCCATGGACCTCCCCGAGGTGTTCCTTCCTGAGGGCAGGTTGTTGCTGGCATCCCTCTGCCTATACTGAGGGGTAGCCGGGGCCGGGGGCTGTTTGTGGGGAGGATGGAGAGAGCTTGGCCATGTGGATTCAGTGTTCACACGCAAGACCTCTCAGCGTCCCTAACAGAGTGAGGGGCAGGAAGAGGGGGGGCTGGGGGTTGCCAGCCAGCAGACTGGCTCTGCCCCACCAGAACCCCAAGGATCTGAGGGTCTAACTGGGATCTGGCTTTCCGGGTCTCTGTGCTTGTCAAGATAGGAGGATAGAACAGAGATTATTTAACAGCTTGTTAGCTGGACGTCTGTGTTTAAATATTTATTTTTTTTAAATATTCTCATTGATTTCATAGAGGAAGGGAATGATGGTTTCTGCGTGACCCCCCTGCAACCTCGGCATGTGCCCTGACT